AAAATCGATTCTGTATTCAGAGAAATTTGTGATTCTGACATATCACTAGATGATTTAGATCAAGCCTTAAACAAACTGAAAATGGACAAAGCTCCTGGTCAGGATGGCTTGACTGCCATCTTTTATAAATTCTTCTGGAAAGAAATGAAAGAATTTTTCTTCAAAACTATTAGAGAAATCATTAGTAATGAAACATTAGCAACGACAATGAAACAGGGTCTTATTTCCCTTATCCCCAAACCTGGTAAAGATAAAAGATTAATCGATAATCTACGACCAATTACTCTATTGAATACAGATTATAAAATTCTGGCTCATGTTATTGCAAACAGATTAAAGGACGGCTTAGATCAGATTATTAGTGAAACACAATCTGGGTTCCTTAAGAATCGTTCTATCCATAATAATATTAGACTAGTTTTAGATCTACTGGATTATAATCACTTAATTGAAGATGATGGAGTGATTCTTTTTTTAGACTTTTATAAAGCATTTGATACGGTCGAACATCCTTTTATTTTGAAAGCTTTACAGTATTTTGGTTTTGGTAAAAAATTCATAGATTTAATTTCGTTGTTATACTCCGATATCAATAGTTCTATTTCTCTAACTTTTGGAACGTCTAAACGATTTAACGTCAGTCGAGGAATCCGCCAGGGGTGTCCAGCTTCTCCGTTACTTTTCATTATTGTAACAGAACTTTTAGCTATTTTCATGAAACACAATCCAAATATTCAACCACTGAACTTGATGGGAGCCCCATTAATCATAAGTCAATTAGCAGATGATACGACACTATTTTTAAAGAACATGACACAGGTTCCTCTTGCACTAAATGAAATTTCACTATTTTCAAAGGCCTCTGGTTTGTACCTGAATATCAGAAAATGTGAATTATTAAATATTCATGACTGTGAACCCAGTATCTCTCTTAATATAGCTATTAAAACTGAAATTAAATATTTGGGCATTATAATATCAAAGAATACAAACAATAGAGAAAATCTAAATTTTGAGCATATTACCCAGAAATCTGAAAAGATCCTATTCAGCTGGTTACAAAGAGACCTCTCCATCTTTGGACGCGTCTTACTTACCAAAACAGAAGGTATTTCTCGACTGATTTATCCATCACAGTGCTTATATGTTTCCAATAGACTAATCTCTAATATAAATCAAATTAACTTTAATTACATTTGGAGAAACAAACAACATTATATTAGGAAGAATGATGTAGTGAAATCGTTTGAAGAAGGAGGTTTGAATGCGATTGATTTTGAAGCAATGGATGGTTCCATCAAACTCAAATGGTTGCAGTCTTTCATAAATAACTCAAACAGTATTTGGTTTTATTTCCCTAAAATAATTTTCGAGAAGATTGGTGGCATTGAATTTCTCTTAAAATGTGATTTTGAAATTTCCAAAATACCTATTAAATTATCTAATTTTCATAAACAGGTTCTTCAGTACTGGAAAATGATTTACAAGCATAATTTTTCTCCACATACAAATTCAATTTGGAACAACAGATGTATATTGATAAACCGAAAATCCATTTTTTATAAGGATTGGATGGATCATGGAATTTGGACAGTTTTACACTTGTTAGACAATGATGGCAATGTATTATCGTACAATAAATTCATAGATAATTATGGCGTATCATGTACTCAAAGTAAATTCATTAAAGTTGTGAAAGCCATTCCCCCTGCAATGATTCAGATGGCTAAAGCCAGTTTAACCTATTCTTCCTCTATAATTCGTGAACCATCCTTAGTTATTGATGATTGTCAATTTAATGGAAAGTCATGCAATAATAAATTCTTAAGGACGATTCTAACCAAACAACTTTTTCCTTCTCAATTAAAAAGAAAATATTTGTTTAAAGATTATAATTTTAGGTTCTTGACTAAATATCTCTCTTTTCCAATTCCACCAAAAGCAAAAGAAAATCACTTTAAAATTTTAAATGCCATTTACCCGTCCAAGGACTATCTTCATAAGAAATTCAATATAGATACGAACACATGCACTTTTTGCAAAACTGATATTGAGACTACAGAGCACCTTTTTTCATTCATGTGACAGTTCCAGATCTTTTTGGAATGATTTTCAGTACTGGTTAACCTCTAAAAGTATTGATTGCCCTTCTCTAACCTTTCAAGTAATAAGATTTGGCCTACAAACAGAAAATAAGAAATTAGAATTTGGGATTAACAACTTATGTATAGTTGCAAAATTTTTTATTCATAAATGTCGCTTCTTAAAAATTACTCCGAATTTTGCTGGTTTTAAAAATGAAGTCCTTCTGTTGAAGGCTTCATTAGATAAGTGTAAATTAAAGAAGGCTAAGATCTTACTTGATTTTTTGATGTTGCTTTTCAACTGATGTAGCTAGAATGTATGTGCGTACTTATGTTTTTGTTTAGTTTTCTTTGTTTTCTTTACTTCATATGGAAGGTCATTTAATGCACGGGTATGCTGTTTTGTTATCTCTGACCTATAATGTTTTTTTTTTTTTTTTGTTGCTGTTGTTCTTTGTTTGGATGGCTGCTTTGTTCTTAACCAACTGTACTTATTCATACCTTGTTGAGTTGTAAGATATGCGCTGTATTTGTGAATCTGTACAATTAAAAAAAAAAAAAAAAAAAAAAAAAAGGTCCTACTCTTTAATTCTGCGGAACCCAAGTCTTCAAGCTATGTTTCTTACCGGACTTCCGGTTATATGTATTCTGGCTGGATAACGATAGCTTTCCCAGAGTTTTTGCTGGACTAAAAGATAGAGCAAATCTTTTCAAAACGCCGAACAAATACAGTGTATGTAGAAAGTAATTTTATTTTGTAAGCGATTTTTTAAACGGTTCATGTCTCACAGATATCTTCTTATTGTTTAGCTAGTCGCTGCTCTCGGGCTGTTTGTTTAAAAAACACCTAAATCTACCGTCAGCACTGGCCTGTGCGACGTATTTAGCAACAGTCTGTATACATGTATTTTAACCATAACGATATTATCACGGGAACTTAGTTACTAATTCTGTGTAGCTTACAGCTAACCGATTAGCTCTGGTTCAATATATATTGGCCAACAATGAGTTTCTCTGCGTTACGAGTCTGGTTGGCTGCATACAATTAATATGTTTTTGTTTACAGTTATTTTTGTTAATATAATTAAAGCAGATTGCATCCTTATTTATTATGTAGTGTTACCTCAGACAATTATAAAAGCGACGTTCTTTTAATATTAGTGTGAACATTTCTTTGCGTCTTTATTTTTTCAAATTTTCATCAAACATGGATCCAAAGTTTCTGTGCTTTGACCAGTGTGGATTTTTAGCCCATGTAAATCAGCCACTTTGGTTTTATATTTGAGCGAAGTGATTTGTTTGTGGAACAGCATTTTCTTGCCCAATAAATAACAAATTATAAAGTGTATATTGTATTCTCTTCAAGTTTTTTGCTTAAAATAATCTAAGAGACTTGTCATATTTCATACAAATAAAATTTGTATACATATAAATTAAGTTTTGATTAAACAGTTTCCAACCATTATTACTGTACTCTTTTCACAGTTTAGGGCCTCTAGCATACAGATCCTGAATGCTACATTTCATAAAGTCTCCCAAAAAGGCATAATTGTAACCCATGACCTTTGTTTTTTATGTTGTTCCTACAGGCTGATGGCTCGTCACTTTCCTCCTGTCCCCTCTGATGTCACCTACTTTCTGTCCTCAGTTCTTCCTCGTGGTTTTGCTTTGGGGCCTTCGCTGCTCTGTGAAGGCAGTGTGGGGCTTTGGTGGGTCGGCCACCCGCTGGAGGCCGGGACTCTGCTGGGAAAAGAAGGCGACACAGACTGGATCTCCAAGAGTTACCCGGTAACCTACAACTGATGCAGCAAACTCACAACAAACAACAGCGGTGTTAGTTAGACCCTCACAGGAAGTCAACAGACCAATCACCTACATTATATTTATAGACTGGATATGTCTCCCCATTCTTTTCATTTTACCCCTTCAGCTAATAAAAGTCATAATTCAGACCTTCGTTCCTGCTCGATGCAGCAGACACTTTTAAAACGGCTTCACTTATTGAACATTGTGTTGAGTTCATACAAACCAAACACATGGGCTGTTTTCTAACTGATTTTCTTCATTTGATCATCTGCACTTGTCCATACCCCAGAAAGTAGAATTGAAATGCTGCTGATTATGTGATTGAGATATAGCCTCCAAACATCTGGAGCTTCCACATGTTTGATGCTGCACCTCTACTAGGACAAGCATTGCAATATAATGGAGCATACGTCTATTAAACTGTCTGAGTCCATCGTGTCTGACTGACTTAACGTTTGTTTCATCAGCCTTGAAATCCTTCGCAACCTGTCTCTGTCTAGTGAGACTGTATAACCATTTAATGAAGCGCTGACCCCATGGGAAGATAATGGTAAATGTATTTGCATAGTGCCTTCTAGGGTCCTACAACCCCCCCCCAAGGCACTTCACAATGCAGTCAGTCATTCATGCATTCACACACACATTCACACGCTGGTGATGATGAGCTATAATGTAGCCACAGCTGCCCTGGGGTGCTCTGACGGAAGCAAGGCTGCCAAACACTTGTGCCACCGGTCCCTCCAACCGCCAAGGTCTGTCTTGCCCCAGGACACAACAGAGATGATCGTTCAACCCTCCGATTACTAGACAACCCACTCTCCCTTCTGAACTACTGCTGCCCATAATGAATCTGTCCTTGTAATTTTCACCAAATATTCCACCGAGGAAAAATTATGAGAAGAACCAGCGAGGCGCTTCTCATGTGAAATGATTTCCAATGGTTCTGCAATCTGAGCTCAACCTGTCCATCTACCATCTGAGTCCAACACTGACGATAATTACTACCAGAAATATGAAAGTACATACTTTATCCTGCTAGGAAAACAAAACCTGTGTATTCAGATGCTAACAAAATCTTTTTGGAGATAATGCAAATGTCTGGTTTTTTTTAGACACTGATGGAGATGTCAGCAAATCAAGAAGCTCCATTACAAAGAGCCCCCTGGATCAAGTAAGTTCACACAAAGTTAAGGTTTATGCTGAGTTCATTTAATTATTTTATATCCAAGGCTGATCAAAGTCTTAGCGACGGTCCAATTTAAAACCTCAGACAAACGTTTGAAGGTTTGACCTACAGATGGTGATGTGTAACTGTTAAAGGGTTCAGCATCACTGGAATTACAGTAAAACCTTGGATGGAGCCATGGGAGTGTTTGTGTGAGTTGATTCCTAAAAGGCGATAAACTCATTATGTGAAGTTAGTGGCATAAAGAGAGTAAGATAAAGAAAAAAAAAGATTTTTACAGTCTAACCCATACTTGTCGACAACACTCTTATCAGACTTTTATTTTTACGTTTTGCCTCTGTCTCAGAGCCACGTTATGTGACGTTTTTGAATAATTATAATTTTTAAATTCATGTAGAAGTTCCTGTATGCTGCTGGTACAGCCCATTTCCTTGGGAAAACGTCCTTTAGTGTTTTAACTTCTTCACAGACGTTATTATCGTAGTCTGTGGGTGTGTAATTATCAGACTGGGAAACTGCCGGACTCTCTTTGCTGTCTCAACCTGTAACATTTCTCCTCTAAACTTCAGCAGCTGTATTGTCTGTAATGCTGTTAGTCTGTTAATCTTTTATTTAAAAATGTGAATGAAAAACAAAAGAAACTCATGTTGAAAAATCCAGACTTTTTTGTTAAAGGTGAAATATGTTCAGCTGCCATTTAATAGCTGATGTCTTAATTAAAATCAGAAACTCCTCCTATTTCTGTTGTCTTCAGACTGGTCCAATCCCCCTGTGGGCTTGATGGTGTATTTTGTCTGTCTTTTATCTTTTTTTTTTCTTCTTGACGGTTGCATCTGTGACAACATTGTCTCTTGCTCCAGGCTGTGTACTTCTAGGTGTCCTGATTAAACACTGCCCCAGTTTTCTCTCCCACAGAGTGAAACTGTGAAAAGAAAAGCAACATCTTGTTACTTCCCTCCGATGGGTAATGAGAAAACGCAGTCACACAAATTCACCAAACAAATGGTTGTTTATCCTGATTGTCATGCAGCCAACCCCACACACGCTATGGGCTCTATATTCTCCGCTGCCCCCCACCCCCTGCCCCGCTGTGGTTCATTCCCAGATTGCTCTAATGCAATCTTAGCTCCCTGCTGATCAGATATGTTGAGATTCTGTATGTCATGTTGAGATTCTGTATGTCATTGCTGTTTTTTTCCCCCCTTAGCTTTGCCTGTCAGGCACGTTGCCGAGCCCAGCAGAACGTGACCATGCATTGTGCATGTGGAGAGGTGTGTGAGGCCGAGTGTGTGGGTGTGTGTCTGCGTCTGTGTCAGCACATCCATCCGGGAACAGAGCTGCTGTTGTACGATGAGGGAAAAGGCCAGACCTCTGACAAACCAGTTGGCTCCAATGGAAGTACAGGTAGGAGCTGAGTTTATCATACATACAGTTTTATATGAACCAGTAACTGTATTTGGTTTGCTATCACATCATTTTTCATCTCGGTAGCAGGAAGGGACAGGAAGCTAAATGATGAATACAGAAATAAGGGCTAAGACGCTGCAAGACTCCTCTCTGTCCTATTTAAGCCAAGCCAACTTTATTTGGGGGGCAGCAGTAGCTCAACAGGTTGAGCGGGTTGTCCAGTAATCGGAAGGTTGCAGGTTCGATCCCGGCTCCAAGCAGAGAATTCTGCTGTTGTGTCGGAGGGACTGGTGGCGCCTGTGCTCGGCAGCCTCGCCTCTGTCAGTGCACCCCAGGGCAGCTGTGGCTACATCGTAGCTCATCACCATCAGTGTGTGAATGGAACACATGTGTGTGAATATAACACCTTATAACATAAAACTGACCAAAGCACTTTTCAGAATTAAAATTGTATTAGAAAACAAAACAAACAATGATACACATCATAAAATACATAAAAACCATAAACAAAGACTCATGTTGTTTTAAAAGCCAAAGCACAATAATGGGTTTTCAAAAGAGATTTAAAGCAAGGCAGAGAAGATGCCATCCTAATCTGTAGAGGCAGCACATTAGGGCCGCTACCAACAAAGCCCTTTCATCCATGAGCTTATGTCTAGTTCTTCCTGGAGCAGCATCTCAGTGAAGGGGAGTGAAGAACCGGTAGCTCAGAGACGTAATTTGGATTATTTATTGCACACAAATGACTTCAGAAGCATCTACCTTCCAATCATTCTAATGAAAATATATTTTTAATCCACACAGTGGTGAAGAACCTGATGTATATGTTTTTCTTTGGATGTTTAGAGGCCAGTCAAGGCTACAGTAATCCAGAGAGAACTTTGTGGAAGGCAATGTGCTGTAAGGCATTGTACAAGTTGTCTGACTTAAAGTAGCGGTGTGTATTTTGCCGCATCTTGGGCAGTACACACATACATGTCGGAGTAGTTTTACACCATATCACCGTGACTGTTGCTAGTTTAAAAAACCTTACAGTAAATGTTGTTCCATCCATCCATCCATCCATCCATCCATCCATCCATCCATTCATTCATTCATTCATTCATTTTTGGTCACTGATCTGGGGTTGGGTTGCGAGGACAAAAGGAGGCCCAGACGTCCCTTTCACCAGGCACTTGAACCAGCTCCTCCGGGGGAATCCCAAGGCGTTCCAGTGTGTCCTGGGTCTTCTTTTAGGTCTTCTTTGCTTGGACGTGCCTGAAAAATGTTACCAGGGATGCTTCCAAGAGGCATCCTAACCAGATGCCCGAGCCACCTCAACTGGCTCTTCTTGATGTGGAGGAGCAACAGATTTACTCCGAGTCCCTCCCTGATAACTGAGCTTCTCACCCTATCTCTAAGGGAGAGCTAAGCCACCCTGCGGAAAAAACTAATTTCGGCTGCTTGTATCCACAATCTCGTTCTTTTGTTCACTACCCAAAGCCTGTAACCATGTGTGAGTGTTGGAACGTAGATCGACCAGTAAATCGAGAGCTTTACTGGTCTCTCAGCTCTCTCTTCACCACGACAGATCGGTACAGCGCCTGCATTACTGCAGATGCTGTGTAGGAGCCATTCATGTTTTGTAGTTTTCCTTCTGTGAATGAGCTGGTACGTGCACGTGCTTCTGCACCTCAAGTGATTGGTTGCACCGTGGGTGTGGTTATAAATATAAGCGCACACCTATTGTTTGGTATATTTTTGTTTGTGCTGGCCTGCATTATGGTGGCGGGGTGTACTGGGGAGAAATTTCTGTTGACCGCTGTCTCATCAATTTACACCTCGAAAGATCTGCACTGTCTATGAAGTATTGTTTGGCATCTAATCACCATCGATTACACCCAAGGCCGAATTAACCATATGGCCAACTGGGCAATTGCCCAGGGCCCACAAACTCTAAAGGGCCCAAGGCATCAAGGGCACGAGCAAAATACTGTAGGCCTATCTGTAACCTCCCGCTTTATATTAAACTAGGGTGACCGTCCTGTTTTACCCGGACATGTCCACTTTTCACTCTCTGCCCGGGCGTCCGGACTGGGGGTTCTTGTATTGATGAAAATGTCCGGCTTTTCATCCAGGAGCAGGGATCGAATTATGGGGGGAGCTGGATATCCTACACATCCAGGGGAGCCGGAAAAAAGTTGTCTACCGATATTACATCATTCATGGACTCTTGAGCAGAGAGCACAGAGAGCGGCAGAGCGATGATCGTTGTTGTGCAGTGCTCCAGGCTGCCGCGTCCAGCGCAACCAAAAAACTATAATTAGCACACGATCGTTCATGTCCGCACATGTTCTCTACTTTCTGTCTTAAGCCGGGCGTACACTGTGTGACTTTTTCACTCGCAGCGTTCAGCTTCAGCTCAAACTGTACGACTTCCTCGCAGAGCAGATCTCACGAGTCATGTGCTCACACTGTACGACCCTGTTCTCGCATGCGACCTGACTGCTCACACTGTACGTCTGGTAGCAACACGTCGGCCCTAAAAATATGCTAAAAATAGCAGTTTTTACTCAACACGTCAGACTTTTTTGTCTTGCCTGTTGTCCTTCGGGAGTGCTGCAGGAGGACACACAGGGATTTATGGGGGTTAGATGAGGAAAACGAAATAAAGAAAGTGAATCTGTGTTTTGTGATCAGTTTAATTTGACATGAACACGACAAACACGCTTTCTTGACAATCTTTGTGAGTAAAAAAAAACGTGTAGAAACAAAAACAAACAGCGTGTGTTATTAGGGAAATAGCGAGCGACCGGCCGGCGTTGATGCAGGATTGCGCATGCGCCGTGAGCGGTTCTGATACTTTTTGGATCGTAGCTGCTCGCAGCTGCTCGCAGCGCCGCTTCAACAGTGCGATACCCTCACGAGGGACGAGCGAAATATTAAACACACCAGAAGTCCCTGCGACCTCACGACTGCTGATCGGCGGCTGGTCACGTGGTGTTAATCGCCTCTCGTAACCCCCTGTACACTACACGACCGCTCGGCGCAAAACTCGCCCCGATGTCGTGGCTTCTCGCACGACTGGAAAATCGGCTCAAAAAAGTGAAAAAGTCGCACAGTGTACGCCCGGCATTATTTGTGCTTGAAGCGCTCTGCCACTGCGGAGCTCATCACCTGTGTTGCGGTGATTTCACCTCACTGAAGCAGCATCGAAACGCGCACTCCGCTTTGCGTTCAGGAGATCTTTGATCTGCTCAAAAGTAACTGATGAGGTGAAAAAGTAAGAATCCAGGCAGCAGTTTTTCTGGAGAGTTTAGAGGCGATGCAGGAAGATGAGAGACAGACAGGACAGGAAAATAGTTAAATAAAAACAAGAAAACAAAACAAAGTGTTGAAAAGTAAAATGTAGGTAGATTTATCTCCACTGCACGTTTTTACCTGTATAAAACAATAAGTTATACACATGTAATATTTATACATCTGACACAATTCAGATCACCTTCAAAACTCAGTCACACACCCAGGGCCGTTTCAAGACATTTTGGGGGCCAAGGCAAAATGCAGAAAAATGAGATTTTGCAATAAATATGCAAAATATCTACATATGAATTGTTTTAGAGCCCTTTTATTTGCAGAATCTGATATTAATTTAGTTCTTACAAAAAATGAGTCCCAACATGGTTTGTGTGGCGTTGCCATAGTGTGATGTCATAGGCACAGATCCCCTGTCCTCTTGTTTGGAAATGGAAATATGGTCACCCTATATTAAACAAACTGTCCACCCGGGCTTTTGCGCTGCACAGAGACGCTTCGCTGCCTATGACTTTGAACGTCAGTTGAGAGTCAGTCTCATGCAGACTGACCAATGAAGAGAGAGCCTCAAGTTAAGACCCTCTCCTCATTGGTCAGTCCACACGAGGTGGGTCAAAGGTAACTCTGGCCGGGTTACGTGATGTCATGCATTCAAGTAATGAGTATATTTACTGCATATTACAGTAATATATTCTTTATGTGACCACATTATGGTGATCCTCGGGTCATGATGATGGGACCCTTGAATATTGTTGCCCAGGGTACAACAAAGTGTTAATCTGGCCCTGTTTACACCAGGTCCAAAGTTGCACACAAACTAAAAAAAAATATATTTTTTTAGTAATGAATAATCTAATTAGTTACCGTCTGCTTTTATCATAACGCCGTTTCTGTTGCTGATAAGAAAATGTGTGCGTTACTAATTCAGCTGCGTGGTGTGTTGAAGCCATCATCAGCTGATAGGGAGCTAAAGAGGCGAATGTTTTCATCCAAGTGCATCACGGCCCGCAGATTCGCTGCTGCACGCGTGGACCTGCAGCTTTGATCTTCTTGGCGTGACAGCGAGACATTCTGAAGGTCCGCTCACCCGTTCACCGCTCAGACGTCACAATCTTCTACCATCCTAGATCATCCTACTATAACCTGTTTCTGCTCATTTCTTTCGTCCCGCTGTAACACTGGTTACATCAGTCTCAGACGTCATGGGCGCTCAGGTGTTATTAGAACCACCTGTGTGTCATTACCACCCAGCTTCAGCTCTTCTGTGTTTGGGTCCTCCATCAGATTTGTGCTTCTTCTAGTGTCATTTTATAGGACTTTTATTTATTTAGCCATTATTAGATTGCCAGCAACAGAAATGCTACTAAAAACACACAATTATGTGAAGCTAGAAAACTTAGAATACTGTTCAAAATTACATTTATTTTAGTAATTTAAGTAGACTGAGAGACCATTTAAAGGCTCGGGAACCTTACAGGTGTTTCTATTTGCAGTTATAAATTTTAGCTGATTGGGGTCTTGTTAAATATCACACAGTGATCTTTTAACAAATTAATTTCAATAATTCAGTTTTATAAAAACCATTTGGAAATACATTTTATTATGTTCCAGTCATTAGTCATTTATATTTCAGTATTGTAGTCATTTATAGTAAATTAAGTAAGTTTAGTTAAGAGGGGAACCCATTTTTCTTGCATTCTTTAATGAAAAAAGTAATGAAATAGTTATTTTTTTTGGTAATGAGTTACTTTTATAATCTTGTAACTCCGTAAGTAACTGAGTTACATTTTGACAAAGTAATCAGTAACTTATTACGTTTTTAAAGTAACGTTCCCCACACTGTAAATGAGACCCCTGTTCTTTATCAAATGCATAGCACTTTGTAGCGTCATATGGTCAGAGGTGTCTAAACATTTACAACACAGACCAGAATTGCTGTGTTGGAAAGGCCTAGCCTTGAAATCTAGACGGACAGTAGCAGAAGCAAACTTTTTGATGGCTTGCCAGGCTAGAAAAGGCACACGAAATCATTAGACATAAAAACATTCTCATATGTTCACTTAAAGCGTCAGAGTCTTTGGATTTAAGGGTGAGGGCCTCGAGGGCCGGTATCCAGCACGTTTTGATTTTAACTCTGCTTCAACACACCTGATTTCAATCAGCAGGTAATTAACAGGCTTCCACAGAGCCTGACGAACTGCTGCACAGGCGATTCAACCACTGAATCTAGTGTGTTGGACTAGAGAAACCTAAAACGTGCTGGATACGGGCCCTCGAGGCCCAGAATTGAGTACCCATGGGTTGGCTGGTCTTAAAAATAACTTTTAGTTGATTGTGGTCACTCTTTCTTTAGTCAAGTCGTATAAATGATTCTTAAAAGTCTGCTTTTAGTAAACGTCAGTGAGGATTTTTGGTTTGTTTTACTGTGTAACTAGAAATGGGGTTAATTGCAACAAATACTTTGTATAATGCCTAATCTTTTTTTGTTCAATTGTTTTAAAACTGTTTACATTTTTGTTTCATATAAATTAAATAAAAATGTCTATTTGGGTATGTTCCTGTGTGATTCTCATTCTCACTGATGAAAAGACTCAAACTGTGCTAAAAACGTTTAATCACATCAACATCAGAAGGTGTTAATATAAACATTTACAGCCAAGTAGACAGTTAGATTGCTTCAGTCCATTTCATGTTGTTTCCTGCTGTCCATGTGGAGGAGCTAGAGGGACATTTACCTCACTGTCACCCCTGGAACCCTGAAAAACTCTTGTTTACCACAAAGGTTGTAATTAGAGTCTTACTTAAGGAAGATAAAGAGTTATTGAACAATGTTCAGAGCAGATGAGTCACTGATCTGTTTGATAAAATACATTTACACATCAGCATATTTTAAAATCACTTGTTTGAAGCTTTGTGAGCAAAAACTCCCTCCAGTCAGCAGAAAATAAAACTAAACCAAGATGGAAAAGATGGAGAAGACTCTGAGGAGAAACAGTTTCTTCATCAAGTAAATGAAAAACCAAGCAAGAGCATAAAATCATTGCAGCACAGTGGTTAAGTAGGAATATGACAGCCCAGCTCATCCAGACCTTTGTTGTTCCTACTTGGTGGAGCTTTATGTGCGGTGAGGGATGGAACGCATGCAGAAAATACCCAGAAGCTACAGACTGTGGATATCTTATTAAACTCCTGCTCTTTTAGTGTACTGATTCAAACAGATTGAGCCTATAAATCTTAAATGCATCTCAAAAACAATTATAAACACTAAATTAAAGATAATAAGATAGGCGCTTGATCCCTGCAGGGAAGTGACATTGTTATTGTTTTATTTAAAGGGACAAAAGAAAAGCCGTATTTTGGCTAGAACGTATAATGACCGTGTGATAAAAGAGACCTTGAAATGGATCAAAAGAAAAGACAGAAGAACCAAAAGAAGATATGAAACTGAGAATGCTCAAATTGTTAATCTGGAAAAAACAACTAAAGTATAAAGGGACGTGTGCGTATGTTATGAACCAGAAGTGAAACAAACCAACCTGATGGGGTAATGAGGAAACAAGGCCGATTAAATAAAGAATGATAAAGTGAATACAGAATGAACCTCCTTCATTTATTGTGTGTGTTGGATATTAATCTGGCTCAAGCCTCACATTTATTTAATAACTGGTTTTCAATTTAAGTAAATTCAAATATTATTTTTTGTAGCCTCAAATCATCTCAATGAGTTCTATATTTAAGTACAATGGCAAGATTACGCAAATACAGAGACCTTCATCAAACCCTGATCAAATCACATTAAAGGAAGAAACAGCGTGGGCTGTAATAGGAATATTCACTAGCACTTTGCCTAAATAACAATGAAAAATGTTTCAAGATTTGATTTAATAAGAGCCAAATTATCAGGGAATAGAATCCTAACATCAGGTGGACTGTTTTATTACAAATGGCCATTAATAAAAGCAATAAAGCATGGACATACAAGTGTAGTCAATGTTTACTCACATGTTGCGGCCTGTTAATGTTGTGGGGAGTGTATGACAAAATTCAAAGAAACCAAAATCAAAAGTTAAATATTTTTAATTACTCTGGCGGCTATTTGACCGCTCTTCTTGGCAGAATCAGTAGCGTTAATTTAACTTGTGGTTTCTTGGCACAAACATGTCTTTTTAACAAAGTTTCCAAACTTTCTAAAGTTTATGGCCATTCCGGAAGCTTAAGTCAGCCTGTGTTATCCAGTCGTGTTTCATGTGCTTGGGGCCATTGTGCTTTTGCACACCCCATTACGTTACCACCACCTAAAAATAAGTAAATGTGACCAAAATAACTTAGTGTGAGCTTAATCATTAAATAATTATTTTATTCTTATTCTGATTAAACAATTTAGAGTGGCCATATCATTGAAAATCCACTTTTTGGAGCTTTTTACCATGTGGTATTGTTATTTTCTCATGAAATGATTAAAGCTGGGTTTATTTTTCATTTGGGTAGGAATAGGCCATGTGGCCTAAATCTGTATCACAATATAGTATTTTCTTTTATTCATTTTTGCCAAAATGACTATTTTTGAACATTCTCACATAGAAAGAAAACAATCTTTTATATAGCGCCTCTCAAGATAAAAATCACGAGGTGCTTCACAAAAACAAAAAAAATGAATGTACCCAAAAAATAAAAGTATAAAATGATAAAAAATAAATTATTACAAAAATGTTTAAAAGAAGAGAAAAAACAAATGTAAGGAAAGCTGCCGTTTTATCGGAGAGGGCGTAGTGCCAGTTCTGTTTCCAAGGACACTTTCTTCTCATTCGTTGTGTCATTGTGGCCAGTGATGCATTGTGGGTTACGTTATGAATGGATGGAGCTCAGGCCGCTGGAAGTGAGGTTGACTAAAACAGACCGTTTAATTTCTGGTTACAAAGACATGACTAAGGACCAAGGATAGAACCCTGTGGCACACCAAATTCATGATCAGGAAGGTAAAGAGGCGATTTCCAAATCCTACACACAAGAAATGCATTTAAAAAAACATTTTGCATTTTAGGAGGTGGAAATATGTGTTTTATTTCATCATAACCTAGAGAGTTTTTATGTTTTTATTGGACAGCGGAAAGCATGGATGAAATTAAAGAGGCCGAGGCTGTAATAACCAAAAAGACAAAAGAAGGACCAAAGAAGAAAGAGTTGAAAAGTCAGGATGAGGAGGAGGAACACAGCTGCTTGAGGAGGAGCCACCCAATCACACTTGGGAGGAAGAGGAGAATTAAAATCATCCAATCCAACCAGAGTCCTGAGTGTGACATCCAGCAAGACATTCCTTCAGACACAGCAGATGTTGGACACTCAAACGCTGTCCCTTCAGACAAAGACACAGACGACTCACTCCCCGCATCTCTTTCTGTCCGCTGCAGCTCTCGTCTAGCTGCTAAACCCCGACGAGTTCACAGTCTGTCCAGCAGAACTCGACACCCCCCTGCTGGATCTGACTCACCCAAACAGAATGAAGAGCAGAGCAAAGACTCAGCTGAAGGCCTAGATGTCTCTCCATCACACCCTGAGTCCGTTGTCACAGCTTGTCCTGCTGAGAAGGTCTCTGAGTTGCAACCGGAGGTCCGAGAGAGGCGGTACAGCTGTTCCAGCTGTGGTAAAAAGTTCTTCCAGATTGGTCACTTGAAGAAACATCAGTTTAGCCACACTCATGAGAAACCATTCACCTGCCAGGCCTGTGGGAAACACTACACCTCAGCAGAAAGCTTCAAAGCCCATCAGGTACACGGAGTGGTGGTTCTGTGGATTAGTAAAACATGTATTTTTATATTGATTTTCTCTCCTCTCATTTAACTTTAACATGGATGTTCTGGTCAGAGTCATGTCAAACAACTTGGGCCCCATATGGGTTTGGAAAATTGATTTAATCCAAAAAAAAAAAGCCCCAGCTTCCAAACTTTTGTATTTTTTCAGTGGCTCAGGTAATGTCTTTGAAGTGATGACACAGAGATGTTACGAGATCAAGCTGAAGGCTGATGTATTAACTGGAACGCTGTAAAATCTCAGAGATGTCATTTCTTTTCTTTCCCCAAGAGTTTAAAAATATTTTTATTTGCTATTTTCAAAGAACAACATAAAGGAGAAGCATGAAACAAATGAACAAAGAGCAGAGTTCAGTAGTCAGAAATCAGACAAGCCGCTGCTCAGGTGATATCCTCATGCTATAGTGTAGACATAAATAAGACATCAGGTTTTCTGTCATGCTAGACTAGATGCTCCATTAATAATCTGCACTTACCAGAAAGTATGATGAGGCCCAAAATGTCAGAACGTTAACCAGATTCCTGTGATTAGCACAGTTAATAAAGGAGACAGGAGAAAAACTGCCCATTATCTTTGTAAAGGTATCAGTTCTTTAGACGCAACGTGAAGAGACCGGTTTAAACTTTTAGAAATGGTCTGATGATAAATTCACTCTTATGTAAGGGTTAGGTTGTGATGCCCCAGATTATTGACAGATTACGGATTTAGCATTTTCCCAAACACCTTACCTACTTGGAATCTTAATTCCAATTCCCCCTCCCAGGTCGCTCCCAGTATCAAGGCCTAAACCTCCCTAGAGAACCTTAGAAATAGTTCTGGCATTGTAGAAGACGACACATTTCCACTTCAGTTACAGATAATTGCCAGATTTATTTTAATATTATGTGATTCATTATTGTTTTAAATGTCATTTTTAACTTCTTTTATTTTAATAATTTCTGGTCAAACGTCATTAGATTTTCAACATTAAAAAGATCTATAACGTGGATTTCCATGTGAGAAATTCTGAGTGAAAAGTCCTTTTATAGTCAGGATTCTTAAAAAATGATGAAAATGTGGATTTTATTACTCAGATCTTCCATCATCTTATTTGACAGCCCTCTAGGCCAGTGTTGCTTGTTACTGAAATGAAAGGAAAGATTTTAACACAAACCAGACTCAGAACCAGAGCACTGGTGTACTGAAAAGATTGACCTCTCCCTTGTTAAAAAGCCCCAGCAGGAAACCAAAGAAGAATCAACACTCACAGCAGTGGGGCTGATCCATATTACTTAAAATAATAGAGGATTTGCTTCCAGATGAGTCACCGCGGTGAGCGTCCATTTTCCTGTCCCAACTGTGAGAAAACCTACTGTCTGAGGCGGGACCTGCAGGAGCACATGGTCCTGCACACCGGAGAGAAGCCTTACACCTGTGAGAACTGTGGCAAGTCTTATGCACGACGTCCTTCCCTGCGCGTTCATCGTCGCCTCCACTGCAGCAAGATGAGCTACACACAGTCTCCAAAGGTCATTTCAAATCATACCAGCTTTATTAAAGGGGCCATATTATGGAAAATCCACTTTTTGGAGCTTTTCACCATCTTCTATTGTCATTTCCTCATGATAAATACCCCTAAACCCTTTTTTGACTTCATTCATGCATTTTCCTGTCTCTGCTGCATTTGACTGATGTTAAGATTTTTCCTACATGCAGCAGAATGTAACCCATTTGCGTCATCTGGCATTTCTTCTCCCCCTGAACCTGTTCTGGTCTCGTTCCATTCGTCCTGTCTACAAAGATGCATGTAATGGCCAGCTCAGGATATGTGTTAGACGACATGTTTTGTAACAGACTCAGTGGACCAGCGGTTAGAGTGACAGGCTGGCATATAGTTTAGCGCAGGCGCGCCTCCTGATCCCGGCAGTAACTGGATTCTTCTATCTTTAGCTACACTTGCCAGTATTATGTTTTCCACTCTTTTTCCACTGTTTTTTCTTTGTTTGTTTAGCCAATGTGAGTCCATATGAAGTGAGTCGGAGTGTCAAATAAAATACTGCTTTGAAATGACCAAATTCAAAGATCTTTGGAGACACAACAAGTATTTTGCAGATAACAATCAATGAAACTAAAATATAAGTAAATTTGCTGGCCATTAGGTGTGTCTTTATGGACAGGACACATGGTTTTCACAGCGGCGTTTTGTCCCCAACACAGAGATAATTTGTCAGAATATCCACTCTGGTAAAGGTGCAGATTTTTTAATGACTTTCAGACTAAAACATTCTCAACCACGGCATGAAATGAATCGCTCTATACTCGCAACTCTGAAAATCTGGGCATTAGTGGTCTACTTCCAGGGGAGACAGGTTTCAGATCTGAGACTAGATTCATGGGGAGGATGACACACTCAGTTTCCATCCTCATGTCTGCAGGTCTTAACTTGCACATGAGACAGGAAAATACATGAATGTAGGCAAAAATGGGTTTCATGAGGAAATAGCAATATCACATGATCAAAAGCTCCTTAAAGTGGCTTTTCTTTGATATGGCCCCTTTAAAGTCATCAGAGATGCTTGCTGCAACTTGTTTTTTGTTTGGTCTCCCAGGTGCAGTGTTCAGTCTGCTCCAAGTTGCTGGCCAATTCGAATTCCCTGAGGAACCACATGAAGCTCCACACGGGAGAAAAGCCTCACATCTGTCAGCAATGTGGGAAGTGTTTCAGACAGAAAGGTATGTAAGGTGTGATCCTGCAGCTGCAGCAATCCGATCAGCAGTCAGCTGTGATCATTCTGATGGAGCTAGACATTTGTCTGACAGTTTATCTTGTTTAAGGCCGCCATGTTTGACCTGTAAAATAATCTGGACATTAAATCAGTTCAAAGGAAAACTCTTAAATCTGTATATGCATGAGACATATTTCATAGGTGCCAACAAGCAATCATAATAACCACGACAAACAAAATAAATAACAAATGTTAAAATATGTAAAAATGAGCTAGGTTAAATTAATGGTTCAGATTTTATAAGAGTTTTAATTGTTATCCAAACCTATGTGATTGTTTTTTTTTAATTCATCCTCAACAATAGGACTAAATCTAAATGCAGTTCATATAACAGCATCAAGGCTCTTTAAATAGAATATATCGTATTTTCCGGACTATAAGCCGCTACTTTTTCCCACGCTTTGAACCATGCGGCTTATAATGAGGTGCGGCTTTAGTCAACCAGAAAGGATGTATGCTAGAAAGTCTAATGAAGGAATGGTTAAAGGAGTGCTACGGAAAGCACCCAGGATGATTTTTTCACAGTAAAACGGCGCTGCGTGTTTTCCCAGCTTCACCCCGGGATGATGACAGCAACACGGAGAGCGACACTAACATCGCCACAGAAAAGGTATGTGACTAAGCTCTTCTGAGGCTGTTCAAGTCCGACACTGAAGAAGATGACTTCAATGGTTTCGGTGCGCAGGAGGACGATGAATAAACGAATCAATAACTTTTCTGCTTTGTTTGTTCAGTTATGTTCAGTTAAACTATGTTTTCAATTCAGTAGATATCTGCGGCTTTTAGCCCGGTGCGGCTTATATTGAGGTGTGCTCTATAGTCCGGAAATTACGGTAATAGTCTTTATTGTCATTATGTCCAGAGGCACAAAAAAAAATTAAGGGTATTCTCAAATGGTAAACATGGATGTTTCCACATCTGACTGTTCATAGACCAATGTCACATGCATTACTGTTGAAGAGGATGGGTTGTATCCCTCCTGACAAAGATGTCGTCTCATTATAAACGCAGCTGTCCAGCTGAAGCTCATTCTCTTCATTCCATATGGAGCCAGTCTCCTCCCCTTGAGGTCAGCTCATGGGTGCCCTGAACAAAAATGAGTGGAAGTGAATGAATGGGGCTCTGAAACAAATTTTCTGACCTGCTGTGCCTTACGCCCTGAATCATATCTGTTATACTTCCATTTAAATGAATAAAAATGTGTCTTTAAAATTCACTGACATTAAAGGGACTTTACGGAGTTTTGAATTTTTATGCTCGCGATTGCCCCCTCAGGCCAAAAGCGTAATGGCAGCTTCAATAGTGGGTTCATGCACGAGGCATGCATGCTGTACGTGCACACTCCTTAACAAAAATAACAGCTGAGACAGTCCCGTGTGTGTGTGTGTGTGTGTGTGTGTGTGTGTGTCGGAGGACAGAGGACAGGAGAACGCGCAGCTAATTAATTAAATAATCTGGTTATGTACCTTTCTCTTCAGCACAGCCGACAAAGGTTTAAGATGGGTCAGTCCTGCATGCTCAGATGATTCCCTTCCGTTGCTTGAAAAATTGTTCCAAAATGAAAGTTGAACCCACATCTTTTTTATCTGTGAATTCAATGCCATTCGGCGAGTCTCAAATAAAAATTTGGGCATCTTACTGTAAAAAAATATACCATTAATGTAAATAAGAAACTCTAAATAAACTGTGTTCACATCTAGAATTGAACCCAGGTCTTCTGCACGAGAGTCCGACATTTTACTAGGTGAGCTAAAGCGCCAGTGACGTCTTTGTATCAGTAGCTTTTATATCCTTGATGACAGCTGAAACAACTTTCAAAGAACGGTTCAGAGCGAAAGTGGCTATTTTGTTGCTAATTTGCAGGAAATATCTAGACGAAAGTTCTACAGAAAGTAGCTAAGGGTCCTCAGAAATGTAGCTAGCTTTGTCACTAGGTGTTAGGAACAGCGACAAAGTCACTGAGTTGGCACTGCCTCTCTCTCTGCTGCTAAAGCTACTGATAGCAAATGCTACGGGCGATGCCTGAGCGTGAACGTGCATGAAGCAGCCTGCTCGACCCGAGCAGCTCTCTTTTTCTGTGATTTTACAGAAAAACAGGCAATCACAGTAAAAATGCCAGGGCTCATTCTACTTGACCAGGGCATTGCTGGAGAATGTATGAAGAAGAAATTTATTATTTCTATACATGTTTTGGCTGTCAAACTTCCATAATGCCCCTTTAAATTTGAAATCCATGGCACATATCAAACTGGATCAGAAAACAAGTTGTATTGCTCCATAGACTCTAAATCATTGTTTTGACTGTAGGGGACCCATGGACCAGAAGTAGATGGCTGTGACTTGGATGCAGATGTAGTGTAATGGTTTATGCTCTTTTATGAAAGAGGAACCATTCTACATATTAATTTGAGATATAAATTTTAATAAATTAATAACCAAATTTTATAGTTTTAAGAAGACTCAAAGGTTGTTTTCATCGATAAACTGTCGATAATATCCGTGGGTCTGTGTTTCAGTTCAATGAAGAGACAAGTTTTAATTCTTCAAATTAAACTAATGATTTTGAAATGACAAGCATAGGAAACAACAATCAACATTGGCAACTTTGTTGAACAATCTTAAACAGTTGATATTTTAAACTTGCTCAAATAGACCTTGTGTTGAATGTGTGAAATTTAATAATGAGGTGAGATGAAGGCATGTGTGCGTCTGATTTTGCTTCAGGAAGAAACAGGTGTCTGAGTGAAAAGTGATGGGTTGAATAAAGGTTTTGTTGGAAAAGATGCATCAAACGCTATCTATTGTGTTCTGCCTCACCGTACGAGGACCCTCGTTCAGATCCGGAACGTCCCAGGAGGATGTTTCATCCAGGACACACCTTGGCTGGCAGAGGAGACGAAGGTGTGCACCGATCCGGTCCAGAGATGCCCTCGGTACACGTGATGATGAAGCGTTTGCAGATGCGCTTTCTTAAGTTTAAATTACTCTGAAAATCAAAGACTCTGGACGAGTCTGCATTAGCGGTTGCAATTCAGCTATTCCTGTCTGGCTTGGCAGGAACAGCGTGAGGGGGGGGGGGGGGGGGGGGGGGGGAGCCGGTGGGCTCCGTTCCCCCGTTAGCGGTTGTTCACACGTCCTCTCTCTTTCGTTGTCAAACCCCGAACTGAATCATGAACTGAAAACTTACCAAAAGCCTTTCTCTTCTCAAAGCAAAACTTGTGCGTCAGAGCAAATGTGTTTTGGAGTTTACTGTGAAAGTTTGTGTGTGTGTGAGTGTTTGAGTGTGTGTTTGTGTGTGAAGGTCGTTACCAAACATCCTCAAAACATTACTTAATTAAGCATTGATTCATTAGTTATTATGATTACCCAAAGCATAATAATCATTCATTTGATTAAAATACATTTATAATGAGTACAATGGTAAAATTATTATTTAGCATTAATAAACAAAGGAAGTTTAAGACTTTGTTATGTTATGACTATCTTCCATGAGAACGCATCTTCTGGCACTGCAGGTGTTCAGATGTTATGGTTTGCAGCAGACTCTTGCAGACTTTATGTCGGCAAAAGTGGGTTAAAGTTCTGCGTGACCCAGCTTTGACCCAGCCGAGTCAAATGAAACCTTTGGCACAGAAAACCCATATTTCCTCACGTTAAACAGATCCTACTCACTCCCAGGAGTCCATAAATATTGTTGGACTAAATGCCAGAGGTGGAAAGAGTACTAAAATTTCCTACTTAAGTATGAGTACCAATACTTTGATCATTTTTTACTCACGTACAAGTAAAAGTACTTGCCTAAATTTTTACTCAAGTAAAAGTAAAAAGTATCGTATATAAAATGTACTCAAACTAAGTTACTTAAATACATTTTTGTCATCAGTGCAAAACCACAACACCAGTTCACAACACGCTCATGTGTGTGCGCGCGCACACACACACACACACACACACACACACACACACACAGAGTTTGATGGAAGGATTTCTATCTAATCCGTGAGAACAGGACGTGCACATTGATTGGATGAGATTTTTCTAGGATTGTACGTTTCAATTTTGATTAAAATTATTCTTTATTTTGAAAAAAAAAAGTTAATTTTTAGATGCCATCAGTATGTGAGGTATCTCAATGATTTCATGAAAAACTCTAACATGAGACTGTGCTCTAACCTGTCACATAACAAGCTAAATGAAAGCCAAACATCTCAGATGGACCGTATGACAGCTGTTAACGTTGGCCCTGCCCTACTTTACCTCTACATTACAGTTCCTTTATCCATGTCCATGTAGAGCTCCTCTCTGACCTTCATGCTTATTTAGAGCAGCTGATTTTTAAAGTTAGCAGAGTTCATCCTTGGTAGTGGGTTCACTCACTCAGTTAAACCTTCACCACTGAAATCAGTTTGTTCATTCCAATCCTCCTAAATAATCCTCCAATCATCCAACTGGAATCCTTAAGGGTCCCGTAACGTCCATCCTGTCAGAATACACCTTGGGAGCCCAGGTGTTACTAGAACTAATGGTGTCTCCTCACCAGCATGAGCCTCCAAATTGTGAAGGTTGGTCTCCAAACATGAACTTAATTCATGCATTTATCTCCTCTTGTAACACTTTAACATGTTTTAAAAGGCTTGTATCATGATATATTGTACCTATCTTTGGTCTGGGAGGTAAAACATAGAATATTATCATGAACACTGCAGAGATGTCATTATTTATGAAATAGAAGTTATTTTCCTGAGCCATTACTTCAGCCAAGATATAAGATGCATGGTTTTCATGAAACCATGCTGCCTCATGCAGTCCTATATGTGTAACACACACACACACACACACACACACACACACACACACACACACACACACACACACACACACACACACACACACACACATACGTACACACCGCAGCATGTTAAAATCTTTTGAATGACTAATTAAACT